GCCTGGCAGAGTTCCAAAGTCAGCAGCTGGACCAGGCTCTGTACTGTAACACCCGGAGTAACACTTATGGATTCCACAAGTAGCCGGACAGGGCTACGTCCCCACCCCTTTGTGTTATGGGTCCCCAGGAATGAAATGACTTGGCCACTCTCCCAGACCCCAGCACACAAGCCTGTGCCTTCTCGCAGATGGTAGCTGAACGCACAAGTGTCTGCTGACCCCTTGTGGTCACTGTGGGATCTGTCCTGGCCCAGCAGCCAGGGCCTCGGGTTGCTCCTCTGGGACATTCTAGCCTCAGAGAGCTTTCCCACCGCTTTTACCCAGTGGGCTCCTCCCTACAATCCCAGGAGGCAATGAGAGACAGGATTCCCACTTCCACTTTACAAATGAGTGGCATCGTCCTGCGATCCAGTCCTAAATCCATCATGAATTCCTTACCTGCCCAGGTGACCTGCACAACAAAGCAGGCAGCTCTCAGGTTTTTCCAGCCCCACAAACTCTCCGAGTGGAGAAGTGACTTGCCCAAGGTCAGAGTGAATCTAGGCAGAGGCAGTCCCAGTGAGCAGATAACCCCATGTCCCCACACTGATCAGGAAAACTGAGGATCACGGCAACAAGAAAACTAGTTCCTCCTCCTTTGTGTTCAGACTGTGTGCTGAAGGGCCACATGGAGAGTTGAGTGGATGGACGGAGAGATGGATGGATGGATGGGTAGACTAATGGGATGGATATGTAAGAATTCTGTGTTTCCTCCTCACTGCAGCTGGAGAAGCTAGCTGCCTCCCCCGCTATGGCTAGAGTTCTAGCTGCCTAACCCCTTGGCAGCCTGCTCCACACTCACCTGCTGGGGTTTTGAAACCACTGCCCCTGACCTGCCATGAGGGTAATGATTCCTCATCCAGGACTCCTGCCGTGTCACTGACCTCTGTGGAAGAGAGTCAGGGGCCAGGGCCATGAACAGGTCCACAACACAGGACTCCCTCACGGAGCTGTTTCTGCCACCAAAAATGGCTGGAATTGAGTTTGGTGCTCACAGTGGGGCTGTGGATCACCAGAGTGACCAGATGATATGGAAAGAGAGTCCCCTGTGCGTCTCGCAGGCTGGCTCAAACCTACTGACTCTGAGCAAATTCCTTAGCCTCTCTGTGCCTTGGTTGTCTCACCTGTAGGACGGGCACACTACCTGACAAGTGTCGTGAGGACTGAATGAGGTAAGATATGAAGTGCCTTGCATCTAACAGGTGCTCAGTAAATAGAACTTCCCTCCTTTTGTTCCAGGGCATGGAGAAATTCTGGAGAGGGAAGGAAAACATGGTCCACTGTGTCCCTGGCAAGTCTTCTAAACTGGGAAGTTTTCCCAAGTACTCTAAAGTAGTGACAGGGGAGGTGTAATAGGGGATAGTGGTGATAGGGCAGGAGGGGAGGAAATGTATTTTCAGCAAGAATTGAAGGTGTGCTCAAACAGACTTGATCTGTTTAAAAGGGAGTAGCATTCATCTAATGGGTAAAGAGATACGGTATATATACACAATGGAAACAACTCAACCATCAAAATAAACAAAATCTTGCCATTCGCAAAGATGTGGATGGAACTGGAGGGTATTTTGACAAGAGAAGCAAGTCAATCAGAGAACAACAATTATCAGATGATCTCACTCATATGTGGAATTTAAGAAGCAAAACAGAGGATCATGGGGAAAGAGAGGAAAAAATGATGCCAGACGATGTCAGAGAGGGAGACAAACCAAAGAGACTCTTAATCATAGGAAACAAACTGAAGGTTGCCGGAGAGCACGTGGGTGGGAGGATGGGGTAATTGGGTGGTAGACATTAAGGAGGGCTCGTGATATAATGAGCACTGGGTGTTATATAAGACTGATGAATCACTGACCTCTACCACTGAAACAAATAATATACTATATGTTAATTAATTGAATTTAAAAAAAATTTTTTTAAAGAGTATCATTCATCTGTCCCAGCCCTTGGCATGTTCTTCAGACACAAAGGATATTCCATGGGCTTTCCCAAGGGTGAAATTGAGAACATCTTTTCACAGCTAATGGGCAGTAGGAGGGACTCCTGTGCCTTACTTCATTTCCCTCATCTAGATCTCCCTAACCCAGCCTAACTCTCCCTAAACAGCCTATCTCCATCCCAGGATCACTGACACGGTCTTCTAAGCCACTTGGTAGAAGGGAGACTTGGGGTTTTGTCCAGCTGACATTACAGCAGAGGCCTTTGCAACACCACCCGTGAAATCACTCTCCAGAAGGCTCTAGGTCCCAGTCCCTCCACTTCCAACGAGAACAATAAAGATGGGGAACTTAACACATGGTGGTTAGGAGATGGTCTCCGGAATGAGATAGGCATATGGTGGCCTTTGCCATTTTCTAGCTGCCCAACCGTAGCTGGGATTCTTACTCTCTGGGTCTCAATTTCTTACCTATTAGATGGGGCTAATAAAATTACCTACTTTGTTGCTGGGAGGGTTCAAAGAATCATGTTTGAAAAGAGCTGAGCCCTGTGCCTGGCACAGGAATGCTGAATAAATGTTAATACGGTGATAGTCTTGACTACTGGAATGGGCTTCTGGTTGAGACTTCATCTGAACTGAGAGTTTTGCACATGTGCACATGTGTCAGAGCAGCCACCGAACTAAAGATTCTCTAAACCTCTCCTTAGCTTCAAGATTCTATTTCTCAAATAATATCTTCCCATCGCTCACCCCTCCATTCTTCCCTTGCTGATTTTTCTTCCCTTTAGTCTTCTTATTCCTCCCCAACAAATTAGGCGGCCTATCCAGAATTCCATCGCTGCTTGTCCTCTGCTTAAATGCAACATCCCAGAGTTTTTAATGCAAAAATGGGAAGACAGGGTCCACACAATCAGAGGTGAGTTGGTGACTTATAAAAGTGACTCCCCATTAGGTTAACATCTCACTCCCAGGGGATCCCCCAGTCCTTTGGGCCACAGTATGAGGACGCCAAGACCCGCCGCCAAGGCCAGCCACCAAGGAAGATATATGCGGCTGGAGGCTAGACTGGAGTCAGGCTCAGGGAAGCTGCATTAAGCGAGATCCTGGAGGTAGGCAGATCTCCCAGGGACAGTTTAGAGAAAGAGGAGCTGGGACTGCTCTGTGGGCCCTCTGAAGACTCCAAGATCCCCAAAGCCTTTCCCCTTTCCTGGCACACTGGCTGATGGCCAAGGAAAAATACCTATTGAAAGGACACAAACACACCAAGATAGGAATGACACCAAAATGCTAGCAGTGGTTGATCTACCAAAAGAGGTTTTTGACAGATGTGGTCACGTTGCCTGTATGATAAATGGTAAATCTTTAAAATCAATTATTCTAATCAGCTGTGATCAGCCAAGAAAACAGATAAGAGCTTAGAAAAAGACTATTTTCACCCCCACTGAAAAGTAGCACACTCCAGTTCTCAAACGGAGACCATAGAGGAGGGAAAGAAAAACATCATGAACCAGATCAGGCTCTTGCTATTCCGTTTAGGGAAAAGCCTGCTGCTGGGCAGCAAGCCTGGAGAGGGGCAAGATGCAGAGCAGGTAAAGTGAGGACTTCCTGGGGAAGCCTTCCAAAAGCCACCCAGAGGACAGAGGTCCTTACCTAGCAGGTGCTGCGATGCAAAATGACCGCTCCATGGCAGTCGGGAAACTTGCTTCTAGTTCTCTGCCACTGACTTGCAGCAGGACCCTCGGCCAATCAAGTCACCTCTCCGGGCCTCAGTTTCCTCATCTGTAAAATGAGGGGACTTGATTCACTTAAAAAACATATATACTAGGCTCTTGCTCTGTGCCCTGTGCTAAAGCTATAATACAAAGGGGAATAGTCATTTCTTCAGAAAACACTCAGTGTCAACTCCATTTACTAGGCATTGTGGTTACAGATGAGTAAGTCGGCATCCTCGCCATTAAGACATTCACATTGTCAGGTAGACATTGAGCAAACAAGAAATGGCGAACCACAAACTCGGTGCAGACAGAGGTGTGGGCACAGCAAGGAGTGCCCTTTTCTACTGAGGCCTGGTGGGGGAAGTATCCTGGGAGAGGCCTGGACTGGATCTTGGAGGATCCTTGGTCCCTGCTCTCAAAGACTGTACCATCTAATTAGGGGCTAGGACAAATGCCCAAATGGGTACCACACAAGGCAGAACGAAGCCATCCTGGGAAATCCAAGTTCAGAGGGGAGAGGAAACCCATGTGACAAAGGCAGGGGAGGCTGGCGGAAGGGCGGGCAGGAAGCAGAAGGAGATCCAAAAAGTTGTGCAGAAAATGGCATTGAGATAAACTTTGAAGAATGAAGAGTTTCCTGAGAACCCTGGGGGACTGAAGGGGTATGCTGGATGAGGGGCCTGTGCATGTAAAGGGACAACGTGGGGACTGTCAGGGTGTAGTCGGGACAGCAGGCCGGCCAGGAAGTGGGGACTGGCAAGGCCGAAGCCATCGGGAGCCATCAGGATAAGAGCCATCTGCAACGAAGTGACCTGGCCCAAGCACTTCACATCCTCACACCGGCTCCAGGAGGCAAGTTCCCTCACTACCACCCCATTCTTTTAGATGAGGAACCAGAGGCTCAGAGAGGTTACAAAGTCACACAGCTGATGGGTGGCAGATAGAGCACTGAACCTAGGTCTGTCCGATGCCTCACCTTGACCCCTAGCCACTAGCCAGTCGCACTACTGAATCCTTCCCATCTAAGGTACTACACCCTGTCCCAGGACAGTTGGCCTGGCATTTCACTTCAGACACATGGGTACCAAAGCTCGATCTTGGCCTTAACCTTGGAAGCCCAGGCTCGATTGGGCCTCCTCCCAATCAGGCAGCTACAGGACCGTCAGCATCACCTTCACCAGAACGGATGGAGTGGTGGGGCAGGGCAAGGAGTATTACACTTGCTGAGGGCTTTTGTGTTCCACAGTCCGCTGGTCTCATTTTATTGTAGTTCTATGGTGGTGTAGGTGGGCGATTTCTGCCACCACCGCCCACAGCCTCTCATCGTCATGACCTGGGGGGCAGATCATTCCGCCTTGACTAGGGTGGCTGGCTTTTCTTGTTACGCTGGAGTTTGAAGTGGACCTTGTACAGGCGGATGCTATCCAGGTACTGCTGGATGGTCATGGATTCCCGTCTCCAGCGCCCCAGCTTCCTGAGCTGGTCTGTCATGAACTTTTTCTTCAGGTGGTCATACAAATGGCTCATCTTTCTCTTGGTCTTGTCTGAGGCTCTTATCTTAAAAAACAAAAACAAAAACAAAAAACAAAACAGAGCTGATGTGAGGATGAAGAGGCTACTTCACAGAAAGCGAGACACCTGTGCTGCTGATGGGGGAGGGGCGGTGGAAAATGGGCTGGGTGGACTCAATATTCCCTAAATAGATTGACTCCTAGTGAGCCTCAGTTTCCCCATTTTGTAAAATGTGGGCACGGAACTGCATAATCCTTACGGTACCTCTGACAGTCTGCAGCCCAGGAGCCTGCGTTGGACCTCAACATCTCTATTGGAAAACTGGTCAGAAAGAGCTGTGGGGGTGGGGAAGGATCCTTAGATCCTATCACCATGTCCCTAGGACTCACTTAGTGCTTCCCACACATTGTCTCTGACATTCCCTACATCACACAGACCTCATTTATTTTGTCTAGCATATCATTTCTGTCCTGTCTCCAAGACTGTAAGCGCTAGGAAGGCACATCCTTCATCTTGCTCACTCATTTGCTTATTCCAAACAGCCTAGCTGTGAAATGGACACTAAAAAAATCAGCCGCGGGTCTTCAGAGCAACTACAACATAGGAAGGTCGGGCATGTGCCCAAACACTTCTAAGTGAGGCAGAGAGTGACACATCCCTACAGGAAGTACAGAGCTCCAAGAAGGGAGATATGGAGAAAAGCCTCGTGGAGGGTTGACTTATAAATTGGGATTGGGTTTCGAAGGATGCGCATGTGAAAACAGAACCAGGTGGGAGGTGATCCTGGGAGCTGACATTTTCGCAAACTCTCCTGGGGATTCTCAAAACCCAGCACCATGTAAACAAAGGAGAGCTCCATGAAGGTCAGTCAGGGTTGCCATGATTATCTGAGAAAGGGAACAAAGCCTGAGCCAAGAACCTAAGTGGATCTTGGGAACAAGGAGCGAAGGGGGAGGGTGGGAGTGTTCCCAGAGTGTGCTCGGATGATTCCCAAGACACAGGGTCTTAGGGGTTCTTGTCAAGGTCCTGAGAAACCAGTGGCTAGCTACAGCTGCCTCTTCTCCTCACGTGAGCACTTTTGGGAGCAAGACAGAAACACTGCCATGCTGCCACTCAGGCGTCCCACCCACTGAGCTCCTACAGGCTGGGCCCTTAGCAAGTCACCAGGTCTACAAACAAGGAGAAGACAGTCTTTACCCTTCAGGGAAGATGTCAATCAGACCCAGGTTTGCAAATCTACAATGATGCATCGTGTGACCTTAGTGAAGTTACTCCATCTCTCAGAGCCTCAATTTCCTGAACTATTAATAATACATAATACATTGGGCACCTGGGTGTCTCAGTGGGTTAAGCCTCTGCCTTCGCCTCGGGTCGTGATCTCAGGGTCCTGGGATCGAGTCCCACATCGGGCTTTCTGCTCTGCAGGGAGCCCACTTCCTCCTCTCTCTCTCTCTGCCTGCCTCTCTGCCTACTTGTGATCTCTGTCTGTCAAATAAATAAATAAAATCTTTTAAAAATAATAATAATAATAATACATAATACATAGTACATATAGATGTTAAATACCTAAAACACATGAGGGCTTAATTAGCTTTAAAAGGAGAACTTCTGGGGGCGGCTGGGTGGCTCAATGCGTTAAGCCTCTGACTTCAGCTTGGGTCGTGATCTCAGGGTCCTGGGATCGAGCCCCTCGTTGGGCTCTCTGCTCAGCGGGGAGCCTGCTTTCCCCTCTCTCTCTACCTGCTTCTCTGCCTACTTGTAATCTGTCAAATAAATAAATCAATCTTAAAAAAAAAAAAAAAAGGAGAACTTCTGGATGCCTGGAGGGGGGCACAGCCCTCTGGTTCATATAAAGCACCTCAAGAGAGTCTCCAGTTATAGCATCTCACAGATCCTCACCCCACTTGCCAGGGATAGAACATCCCCTCCCCTGCTGGTGATAGAAACTGGCTAATCCCTCCTGGGCCAATCAGAAGAGCCCACACCACCTGGCCACACTTACTGGGGCAAGGATGGGCCAGTGACACACCCTGGGCCAACTGGAGTTTCTCCAGGATCTGTCCAGTGTGAGCCAAGAGTGGAAGCACTCCATTTCCTTTCTAGGTTACAGGCCAGGGTTTCCTGTTGCCATGCTCACCGGGGACAGCCAGCCTGATGATGATGCCAACATGCACAAAGACACAGAAAAAAGATGCAAAGGGAAAGTGGAAGACACCTCCAATGGTACTAGAGTCCCTGGCTCCTCTCATCCCAAATATTGGTGACCTTGCCCTACCCATCCTGATGATGTAAACACGTTGTTCTCTATTCTGCTTGTACTAGTTCGTGTTCAGTTTGAGTCACCTACAACTGTGAGGATCCTAATAGATCATATTTTACAAACGAGAAAAGGGAGTCCTGGAGGAAATGTCATCCCCTGAGGTCACACAAAGCTCTCTCATCCATTGCCAAGTCCGTTCTCTTTCCACATCACCACGCCACTGAAGTTTAGCAGAGGAAGGAACACCCAGACCCCTGTTCTTCTTTTGGTCTCTTTGGCGTTTAAGAGGATTTAGCACCATCTCTTGAGCCTCTTCTACTATTTTAATGTCAGAATCTCACAGTTCCATCAAGATTTGGCCCTGAACATGGAGGGAGGTCAACAGAGTCAAGAAGGGAGCAGCAGGGGCGCCTGGGTGGCTCAGTGGGTTAAAGCCTCTGCCTTCGGCTCAGGTCGTGGTCCCAGGGTCCTGGGATCGAGCCCCACATCGGGCTCTCTGCTCAGCAAGGAGCCTGCTTCCTCCTCTCTCTCTGCCTGCCTCTCTGCCTACTTGTGATCTCTGTCTGTCAAATAAATAAATAAAATATTTGGGGAAAAAAGGGAGGGGGCAGCAACTCAAATCTGGGCTTCCTGCTCCACTTGAAGAAATGAGTACATTCTCACAGTCCATCGTGTTCCCCAGCCTCTTCCTAGTGCCCAACACGGTGCCTATCCTAAGCAGCCTCTAAGGATGCATTTAATGAATTAAACTGAGTCTTTTTTCTGACAACACTGTTTTCCCATCCCTTCTTCTACAGGCTTTTAGGTCTAATCCTACTTATCCATAAGCAGAAAGGGGAAGGGCCTCAGTGCTCCTCCAGGTAACGGGGGCGGGGGGCATCCCTGAAGGAAAAAACAGACCAGAGAGTGTTGATGCCACTTCAAACTCCAAGACCCAAGATCTCTTTCTACAGGAGATAGTAGGAATCCATTCATGGACCCCCTAAAGAAATAACACGATTGGAGCAGGGTTGGGGGGTGGGGAATGCCACAAGCACCAAGAAAGATGGAATCCTTCTTCTTGGCTCCCTCAGCCCAGGAATAGCTGTGACACCTGGGGCAGAGCAGTAACCTCAAATCTTAGTTGCCTCCTCTGTAAAATGGGACTTGCTTTAGAGAACCTTGATAGCTCCCTATCGCCTCTAAATTCTGTGATTCCCCACCACCCCTGCCCAGGCTACTGGGGAGAGTAAAGTGAACATAGGTCAAGCCACTAACACCTTCTAATGCAAAACCTTTGATGACCTTACCTCCATCTCATAGATTCGTTGTGCACTGAGGTTGTCACGAATAATCACCCGAGATAAGTTACTCTTGGGTAAAAACTTTTTCACCGCTGCTTCACTAGAATTCATTAGGCTGGAAGTGGGAGGGAAAAGTGGCACAGCGTGAGATGGCTGGGGCCCAGGCTAGGACAGGGACTGATTTGATGGGGTCCGAGGGGAGTGACTGAGGCTTCCCCAGGATTCTTAGGAGAAGCACAGTTGTCATAATTGTCAGAGGAGCAGGGAGTAGGCCTAGGCTGCTTCTTGCAGAAAATGTGCACTAAACGGGTATTTTCTGGATGCTGAGAGGAAAAGTCATCCTGAAAGGCCCACAGCAGTCCACAAAAAAGAACTGTCCTCAGAAGCAGACAGCTTAAGAAGAAAAAATATGATGAAATGGGAGGTGGGGGTCTCAAAGAAGAGCAAAAGCTGTATGGTAGGGTGTGCCGAGGGACGAATTTGATGGGGGTTAAATGGGGAGCACGTGGCTTGGCACTTGGCAGGGGGAGGGATCAGAGGAAGCAGGGCAAAAGGGGGCTGGAGGTTAGGCTGGTTAATAGGGGAATCCTAAGGGAAGAAGGAATTCTAAGGGAAGAGGGTTTGGAAGAAGTCTAGAAAAGTGAGGGAAGTTTGTGGTGGAAAGAGGTTTGAGGAGACTTCCTAAGATGGGATGGGAGGTGTTGGGGGAGGTATGGACTGGAGCCAGGTGCCCTAGGTGAAACCAGAGGTAAAAATTTGGCCAAAATGAAGAACTGGTCAAGAATGGATAATGCCAGGTTTTTGCTTTTTGATAATTTAGTTATACCATGAAGCGGTTCTGCAAATATGTACCTTTAAATGTTTTTGCCCATTTCAAAATAATTGTTCATATTCTCTTCCTAAAATTTGTAAATTAAATGTACAATAGGGAAGCAATGGAATAAATTATAATTAGGCCATACAATAAAATACTGTGCAGTCATGAATAGAACAGATATCCATGTGTTGGGGGCAGAAGGGGGAGGGGAAGGGGAGTAGGTAACGCAACAGTGAAATTTCTTGTGACAGATTTTTCCCCCAAGAGATGTATCACCATGTTGTAGTACATATATATGAATGGACCTGGAAGAATATACACCAAAATGTTAACAGTGTTTGTCTGTGGCCATTCATTTTGCTTGCTTGTCCTGTCTGGTTTTCCTATAATAAGTGTATACTACTTTGACAGGACAAAATAGACAATTTTTAAAGTTTAAAACATTTTGAAGGATTTAAAGAAATCTTTTTCTAATTCATTTTCAGCCAATGGAACTATGGTTTTATGAATATTTTTACATTTATAGACTAGTATAAACAAATATCCTCGGTCTCCCATTTACATTTTTCTGACAACAAAGGCATGAAAATAAAAAGGATGACACACAAAAAAGGAGATGCTCACATAAAAACGTCTCCCATACCCTGTTTAAAAAAAAAGAAAGAAACGTAAAATATTTAAAGACACATATAATCCTCTTCACCTACTCAGCGATGCACCAAATTTACCAATACTTCTGGAAAAGTTTAAAAGGGGGGACAGTGACTGTAAATACCCCCTTTCAAGTAATAAACGGTCATTTTGAACCAAATTGTTTTTCAACGCAAGGCCTCTATGGGAACCTAGAGGATGCTGCCAGCGTTGTGGAATGGAAGGGAGGGAGGGGAAGTTGCGGGTCTTTGAGGACTCAGGCTGAGCTGAGGGGCTCTGTCCCAGGACTACCGGGTAACACAGAAGTTGAGGAGAGAGATGTCAGGCCTGAGGGGACCTGGGCCTCGCTAGGCTCTAAGGAAGTTCAAGGCTGGCCCAAAGGGCATTGGGGACCCCCGGGCTATGCGACGTCCATCCTGGGAGAGACTGAAGGTCCGGGGAGATTCTGAAGATACGCAGGTACGAGATGGGAATTCCAGCTTCTCCCGGGAGTCGGAGCTGAGGGCGTTTGGCTTCCCAGGCTCCTGAGGGTGCGAGGAGCTGGACTGGGAAGGAGCCTGGCTCGCTTGGGGTTTAAGACAGTACCCGGCTCTGAAGTGCTCGGGGCACTGGGGGAACCAAGGCCGAGGTCCCAAGGGCCGCTGGAGGAACGGGGGTCTGGTAAAGCCCTGGGCACCCGGGCCGAACCTGAAGAGCACGGGCTGCTGCGCGGTCCGCGGCCGCAGGAAGCAGATCTGCGGCTGGGTCGCTACGTGGATTTCGGGTTGGCTGATGAATCTAACGTGCCGGGGGGCCCAGGTCGGGGTGGTGCCGGAACTGGTGGTCGCCTGGGAGGCCGAAAAAACTGATGGCGAGCCCAGGTTCCATGTGACCGAGGGCTTGGACTGCTGGGCAACCGAGTCTACCATGCTAGAGAACGACTCGGCCAAGCAAGCCAGAGCCTGAGCCAAGCTCGGAGGGCGAGCGCGCGGACGCGGAGTGAATCCCTGGGCCCACGCGGCGCGCAGAACAAGACGCGTTGCCCGAGAGACGCGTGACGGAAGGTGGGACCTTGGGGCGGGACGTATGCGCGGAGTCTAGGAGGCTGAGGACGCAGCAGGATTGTCCCTCGGCGGCCGCCGTGGTGCAGCCCGGCGCGTTGCCGTGGAGACGGGCTGGCCGACTTGGAGCAGGGTGCGGTGCGCTGAGCTGACTCTACCTCTCCACCAGGACTCATGTGGCCCCCGCGTGATCGTGGGGCGGGTAACGGGGTTAAGACCGGGCGGGGTAGCTCCAGGGAACCGAGACGAGACCGGGGTTTCCAGAAGACCCGGCACAGCGGATTCCTCCCCGCGAGGAGGGACCATTGCTATGGAAACCAGAGCGCGGGGCAGCGGGGGATTGTGGCTCCCAGATGGTGACCGATCTTCTGTCTCCCCGAGACCCTCACCCGAGGCTTCGGGCGCGATTGATTTCTGAACGAACCTGCCCTCCCGCCCACGGGAGAGAGGTAAGACTGTGGGGGTGGTCTTGACATCCAGCAGGCGAGGGAGCCCATTCCTGCGTCAACTCCCCAGGAAACCCGGCAGGCTCACCCGTGGGAGTGGCTCTTTGCTCTTGTCAAGCCGTGGACTTCGTTCCACGCTTATAACCTGGGATTAATGAACGCCCCGCGGTCTTTGCCGACTTTTCCCACACGTAGTGAAACCAGAAAGACCAGCTTTCGGACCTTGCTTTGTGACCCTAGACAGCTCCTTGTCTCCTCTCTACCTCACTTTCCCGTGTGTAAAATGGAGATATTAACCATAGACATCTATTATGTCGGCTTGAAGATCGAACCAGATGAAGGAAGCCAAAGGCTTTGTATGCTATAAAATGGTGAAACTAATCACCACCATCTTCCCCCTCACACTAAATGTTCTTCAGATCCTTGTTTCATTTCTTGAGGCAATCCATGCAACTCCCTCGCCTGAAGCCTGAAATAAATCCCTTTATTCTTCACTCCCATAAAGCCCTACATTTCAATGTCCCTAATACCAGCAAGAATAGTTAGATGTTTATGAGGGCTTATTCTGTGTCAGGTCCTGTGTCACACACTTTACCTCAGGTTACTTCTTTCCATCCTCAGACGATCCTTATGAGACAGGCACTGTTAACCCTATTTTCCAGCTCTGTTGTACCTATAATTGCCATTTAATGTCTGTCTCTCCCACTAGACTTTGAGCTCTGTGAGAGAAGGGGCTGTGACTGTCTTGTACATTTCAGTATCCCCAGTACCTAAAAAGAGCCTGATAAATATCGCTTGACTAGCATGAAAAGGTCTCTTCTCGCATCACTACCCTCACCTTCAAGAGAAGTGTCTCTGCACACTTGTTGTCACTGTGCTGAATAGCAGTTTCCTCTATTCCTGTTGCCCACTGGGCACTATTTTTGGGGACCCTCGGTCCACTCTTCTCTGGGTTTTTTGGGTGACAAGGATCCATTATTTTGGGTGATGGGACATCCCTTAGTATTTAGGCTTTCAGCTGAGTTTTGGGGAGGGTTTCTCTGCCCCCACATGACTTTAGGCAAACAGCCCCATCTGGCCTTCCTGGGGTGAGCCTGATGCATTTGACTCCGGGGCACTGGCTGGTAGGATTTCCTATGTAGCCTTTAGCCTTCTTCTCCAGCAGCTAAGGAACCACCCTCACCTCCACCAAGCTCTTCTCCCAAATTCTAGACAAACAAGGCCAGGAAACTCATCCTCCCCAGAAGATCTCTGAGATGGCAGAGTTGTGGCTATTGAAGTCATTCCTCATTCAACACATATTTATCAAGCACCAAACTTAGCATTGGTGTTACAGTAGGAGTAAAGATAGTTACAGCAAATCCTAGTAGAATCCCAAATTCCCAGTGAATCCTGAATCAAGACAAAACTACGTCTTTAGGAAGTGGTAGGAAGCAGAGCACATAGGACTTAGAAAGCCTGGAGCAAGGACTTATTAAACCTCGGGGAGGGGTATGGATCCAGAAGGTTTCCCTTAGAAAGTGACCCTTAGCTAAGATCCCAAGTCCTCTGCTGAATGAAACAGATCAGAGTCTGGTAGGCTTGTAGGGAAAGAGGGTTCTGGGCCAAGAGAGCAGCAAAGGCAAAGGCCCTGGGCCAGGGAGGACCAGGTATCCATATGGCACTGCAAATGGCTCGGCGTAGCCAAGGCCCTGTAGGATGGAGGAAAAGAGGCTAGAGATGGGCAGGAGCCAGACCACAAATGGCCTTGACAGTAAAGCTAAGGGGCTCCATCTCATCCTGACCGTGGACAGCCACTGAAATATATTAAGCAGGGGAACAGAATTCTGCTCATTGTTTGTCTCTGCCTGATGAAGACTGCCATTTGGCCTTGAGAATTGTGCTCTAAGTCCGAATACTCCTGTTTCAGTGGAGTAGGGGAAACTGTGCTATTTTTGCAGCTTTGCTTAAGACTGGAAGAGTGAAGGGCCTGGGATTTCTTAGGAGAAAGCAGGGGTGTGTCCCCTCCCTGGGGTGCATTGCCACAGCCCTGCAACACACAGCATCATGCTGGTACAGCTTGTCTACCTGAGGCCCCTCTGCTGGTCTGGGAGCTGCTATAGTGCCCCTCATGCTGGCCTCCAGGAAGCTGTCAGTTGCCTTCCTCCCTAGGCACTCTCCTTAGAGGCAAGGTGCAGGAGCTTGGTTAATGATATAGGATTCTGTAATTTGAGGTCACTTTCACAGGGAAAGTGACATCCTGTCTCTTCAGAAGGTTCTTGGAGCCGGGAAGCTGAGACCCTCCTCTCTCTTATACTACCAGTGACTCCTCATGTCACTGCTTCAGAGTCTTATGATTTGAGCATAAAGTCAGAACAGAAACAAGACTGTGCAAGGGGCTCCCACTTAAAGGGAGAAGAGGGCTGTGTGAACCTAGACAGAGAGGCCAGGGCCTTTGTGTCTGATTGACACAAGTCAGCCTGCCCAGCTGGAGATGGGGAGCCCCTCAAGGGCGGCCTTGACTTCCGGACTTGGAGATCAGTTCTCGGGGTAGCTCTGCTGTGATGGTCAGGAGACCGCCTTGGGGATCCTGTTATAGACCCAACCATCCATATCCCAGAAATCCCCTGGTGTTGGCTCTCCGGCCCAGCTGGGCTCCTGCTCTCCAACCATTCTCTCCCTCCTTGCAGTTTGCCATGGCACAGCCCAACAGAAAGATGTAGCCTTTGTGCCTCTCTGGCCGCTGACCCCCTGGCCCGATGACAGCACCCCCGTGTCCCTTTCCGGTTCAGTTCCGGCAGCCCTCAGTCAGCGGCCTCTCCCAGATCACCAGCAGCCTATACATCAGCAACGGGACAGCTGCCAACAACAAGCTCCTGCTCGCCAGCAACCAGATCACCACAGTCATCAACGTCTCAGTTGAAGTGGTAAATACCTTATATGAGGACATCCAGTACATACAGGTGCCTGTGGCCGACACCCCCACCTCACGTCTTTGTGACTTCTTTGACCCCATTGCTGACCACATCCACAGCGTGGAGGTGAAGCAGGGCCGCACACTGCTGCATTGTGCCGCCGGAGTGAGCCGCTCTGCCGCACTCTGCCTCGCCTACCTCATGAAGTACCACGCCATGTCCCTGCGGGACGCCCACGCGTGGACCAGGTCATGCCGGCCCATCATCCGGCCCAACCACGGCTTCTGGGAGCAGCTCGTCCACTACGAGTTCCAGCTGTTCGGCAAGAACACTGTGCACATGGTCAGCTCCCCGATGGGAGTGATCCCTGACATCTACGAGAAGGAGGTCTGTTTGATGATTCCCCTGTGAGCCATCCTGCCAGCCCCCCACACTCAGGTCAGGGGTGCAGCTCTGCTGTGGACCCTCCACCCAGACCTGTACGTAAACATTTCACTTCTGCTGATATAGAAAAAAAAAACAGATGAGGCCTTTTATAAGGGCCAGGAAAAAAAAGGAAAGGTGCTGTAGCTTTTAATCTTATTATCCCTCTCTTCAAAGATTAACTCCACTAACCAATACAGGGGTGCAGAGAAGTTTCCTACCCTTGTGAGTGACAGGTCATGGCTGCTGGCCAGAGGGGAAGAGTGAGGCAAGTGCCCAGGCCAGATAGACTAGCCCCTAAAGCATTTGGCAAGCCTGGAATCCTGCTGCCCTCACCCAGACTGACTAACCCAGGAATGAGTCAGCCACAGTTCCACTAAATTCTTTTAAACCCAAAGCCAGAGCCTTAAGCATCGTGGCGTCACAGTAAGTGGGCCAACCCACTAGGTAAGTGGCCTTTGGGTGGTGCTCTGGGACTCTTGGGGGCCCAGGCCAACCCTGCTTCCACCTTCGACCCACAGGCCCCAACTCTGGTTTTCTGGTTGGGATTTACACATGACATAGTTTGCAAAGAAAGCATTCCACAGTATAAAAATTTTTTTAAAAATATTTTCAATTTTGAGTGCTGTTGTACATGGCAAGGCCTCAAAGTACCCTTGGCAGTCCCCTGCCAGCCCTTGACGGAAGGTGGCATTAGCTTCCTTCTGGGGGGCACATGTGGAGAGCAGGCCTGATGTCAGGCTTCAGGCGTTCCTCTCCCAGGTACTGATTTGCAAGGCTGGAGCTGCAGACCAGAACTTGGCCTTGTGACCTCCTCCCCATGGGATTCAGACTTCTTGATGCCTCAGCTTTCTCATCTGTCCAAGCAATCACAGCCCTTTCTGGAAATCACAGCATTGCCATGGAGGTTCAACGATCCCTTAATACGGGGCCTGGCACAGGGTAGGTGCTTAGGATAGCAACTTTCGTCACGAATGATGCTTTGACCCTGCTGGCCTGGGTCAGCGCAGTCATCCTCGCGATGGCATTTCCCCAAATCTGTGCACAGCCATTCACTTGCTTACAAAGTGCTCTTCCAAAAAGTCATCCTGTGGGGGAAAAATGTGGTTTGAAGGCTTTTCAGACCCTACCTTAGAAGAGGCCTGGACTTTTTAGCCTTTTCAGAGTTTATATTGTGTTTAATCCACGAGTGACCGGGGGTCCTAAAGCGAGGAGCACACTTCCAGCTTCCCCCAAAAGGCCTTGTTTAGATTGCTGACCATTAATGCCAGTGGTGGCTAACCACTGGGGTCC